GATTTCCCATGTAGGCACCCAAAGATAGGGCGTACATTTCAAATCAAATATGTAGGTGCTTCAAAAATTACGCCTACATTTCATTTTTTGAAAGTAGGTGTAACCAAACAACACCTACATGGATTTTTTAACATTTAGGCGTCATTTTAGATGGTTTTGAGCGCCTACATCATAGATGTAGGCACCTTTTTGTGGGGAACACCCAAATAGGCGCTGCCAAAACAGCGCCTACGTAGTGCTCTTGCGGGCTGCAAATAGCAACGGCCTAAAATTATCTATACACAATCAGCACATTCACACTTGATTTGGAGGTCTGCACATCATATATGGAGTGTTTCACTATGAGTCCCAAGTCAAAGTAACCCTTTGAGGGAGGATTGCTAAGCTTCTCCGGACCTGTTTTTTTTACCTTCAAGCTGTGTTCATATCAAAACACCAAGTTGAATCTATAATTTGCCATGGTAGAACACATCACAGTCCAGGCTTTTGTCCTCACCAGTAAGACTCACACCAATTATGTATATGTTGTATTGTCCTCAGCTACTCTATTTTGATGGTACACTGAGTCAAAACAGAATCCCGGGTGAATATATTGGCCTGAATCATACAGGCATCTTGCATATTGGTAATATCATTGTCAGTCTATGATTAAAATTTTCATTCAGTATCCAAAAGACATAGAAAACAAAAATGAAGAAAGATTGGTCCAAGTTTTTATGGACGTGACCAATTTAGAAAATTCTGGTGAGTATTCTGTATAGTAGCAACACGCAAACCTGCCCGCTGGGGACTGCGACAGCGCTGCTGTGGTCTAGCCATTGTTGCAGTGGACCAAACACACCCTGAGTTATAGCAACATGCAAACCCCGCCGCAGCGCGCCACGTTTTGGGTCAACAGGGATAGCGCTGGGGTTTATCGCAGTGGCTACGTAGCCTCACCGCAGCGCTATTGCAGGGCAAAAAATTCAACCTGAGACAGCGGCGCGCTCAAATGGGGCGCAGCCCGCCGCATTCCGCCTTTTTAGCAGCCAAAAGGAGCTTCAGCCAGGCAAGTTGACAAGAAAGGAAAACAATTGACCAAATCATTGAGGTTTGTTGAGAAGATGACAGTCCCTGTTGAGCTGGACCTGAAGAGATTAAAATCACCTTTTGTGAAATGGCTTGTTGGGTTGAACTTTGGGATCTTGGAAAAACTGATTGGTTTGAAAGAGTACTAGAGGATCTTTCTTCATCTCTTCTTGATATGATCCTTACATCTACTGAATGTAATTCTTTCAGTCAATATTCTATCCATCGACTTATTTTTGGATCT